CACCACAGTTCATACTGTATTTTGTACGTATAACACATAGTCGTTACAGTATACTGTATGTACTATCATTGTTAGAGGGTATTTTGGATAAGTAAGCAGCACATGACCTCTTTATGCAGTCCACCTTATCAAATTAGAAAACTGAAAAAAAAAGTTATAAAGATGTATGAGGTAAGCAAGTCACTACAGAAGTATATCAAAGTATGTATTGAAGTGGGGTATTTGAGTGGGGAGTCCGTATAAACAACTGGGCCTCTACCCTTCAGACTGAACTATTTGCCTTGCTCCTTACACTGAAATGTGTACTAGTCTCCAAACTTGATACATTAATTGTAAGTGATTTTATCATCCTGAAATGCTCTCGGCTCTTTAAGATATAACTGTAACATGCTCGTGTCTGTAGCTAGACACAAATACAACAAAATTATTAATGATGGTAACAGTCCATTTCATGTGGTCTCCATCTCATGTTGGCCTCTGAATGCATGATAGAGCTGATAAGTTAGCCAAAGAATCTGCCTTTAAAGGAGACATTGAGTGTAACCTTGGATTGTCAATGAGCAATCTGAGAACAGCAGTACACCAAGAACTTCAACAAAATCTTGTAGATCTGAGGCAAGGTGAAATCGACACCAGTAATTCCATCTATCATCATATTATTATGCAAGAGGGAGCCACACATCTATGGTTCATCCAATAAAATCAGCAGACTTCTAGATGTTACCACTGCTCGGCTTAGACTTGGTTACAAGTATCTCTGGGAATTCTCATTATCTGCTGATGTAGACCTGACCAAATGTAAACTGTGTCAACAAAATTATTTGCACACACTTCGTCACTATGTGATGGAATGCGAAAAGATACGTGAATTTAGAGACAATTCTATAACCAATATTCCAGCAGTGTGTAAATATTTCATTCAAAATGATCTGCTACCAGAAATTTTAGCCAAATATCCCTAGTTTGTTAACTGTAGGTAGTAACTAAGTGACTGTAACCTATCGACCACTGCCCACTGGATGGGGGTCGGTGTGCAGGACAAACATATCAATTGTGACACTAGCTCTCCACATATGTTAGGTGCTTAATTTAGAATCAGTACTTGTGATCGATCTCGAACCCATTTATGATGTGACGACTTGTACTGAATTTTGTAACTAGCTCATCAAGATTGTAACTTGCTTAGCTAAATGAATTGTGGGGTTCAGTCCCTGAGCCCATTACACACAGAAATCACAATTGCGTGATATATCAAATGAACAAATCCACAAGGGCCGTGACGAGGATTCGAACCTGCGTCTGAGAGCATCCCAGACGCTGCCTTAATCAACTGAACTACGACATAGTTAAAAGGAGTTGAAACTGAAGTTCTACTGAACTTACAGGATCCTGCAGCCTCTCCCAGGCACAAACCAGGGTTTTACTCAACTCCCTCATGCACTCGAGCTATGTCAATAGGCCGTTCTCCCTCTTCGCCAAAGAGGGAGAGGTCACTTCCCCCAAGGGGCGAAGAGGGAGAACAGCCCATTGACATAGCTTGAATGCATGGGAGGAGTTGAGTAAAACCCTGGTTTGTGCCTGGGAGAGGCTGCAGGATCCAGTAAGTTCAGTAGAACTTTGGTTTCAACTCCTTTTGACCATGTCGTAGCTCAGTCGATTAAGGCAGCGTCTGGGATGCTCTTGGACGCAGGTTCGAATCCTCGTCACGGCCCTTGTGAATTTGTTCACCTGAGCCTATTATGTGCCTCTGTAACCCTTTCCACTACCGCTCACAAGATGGGTATGGGGTGCATAATAAATAAACTAAACTACCCATAAAAATAATGTAAATGGAATTAATCTGTTCCACACCATCAAAAATATTAACTTAAAATACATTTTTTAATGAATACAATTTCTTTTCTAACAACAATACAGTGTGTTTATTTTATTGAGGACTTTACCTTTATTGAGGACTCTTGTTGGCATATGGAAGATGGTGAGGTGGGGGGGGGAGGAGGAGAGGTGTTACTGTTTGGAAGGGGAGTCTCCTTCCATTATAACATCAGGCAATGATGACTTCTTTGGGGTACACTCTCTCCTACGTTTTGCCTGCATACCACTAGAACCATTGGTTGTGGTTCAGTGCTTGTTTGTCTCACTAAAAATCTTTCCATAGAGATTTGTTTTTCCCTTCATTTTAAAATTTGTCTGTAGAGATGCATCACATTGTCATTAAAAAGGTTAAGGCAATGGCCTACTGCAGCTTGATTTGGGTAATGTATGTCTTCTTCTGCAATTTTTTCCAGAATAGCCCTGTCTTGTCACAATTAAACACGTGTTGTGGTAGGTATGCCTCACTCTGCACAAAATTTTTAAATTCGCTAACAAATCTTTCAGCCGCTGGTTTGTCTGAGCTGGCACCCTACCCATGCCTCACAACACTATGAAGGCCATTTCTTTTTCTAAATTTCTCAAACCATCCCCTGCTTGCCTTAAACTTTTTTTGCATCCTCATCACTCATTCCAGGGGTGTTCATTATAAGATCTTCATGCAATTTTCTTGCTTTTTCACAAACGATGGCCTCTGAAACACTATCACCTGCTAACTCCTTGTTGTGTATCCAAATTAATAACTGTTCAACATCCTCAAGTGTTTGTGTTCTATGTTTTGTGATTATTGTTATGCCTTTTGCCACTTTAGCACTCATAATGTCCTTTGTCTTAGCACGTATGGTGGATATCGTTGACATAGATTTTTTGTACTGCCTAACTAGTTCAACAACCCGCACACCATCTTCATATTTATGAATGATCCCTTGTTTTTGCTCTATGGTCATCCTCACATATGTTTTCTTAGATTGAACCTTACCACTGTATTTCTTGGGACCCATGTTGTGATATACTGTATAATAATTAGTTTTATGTTCAAAAAACATAAAAGCACCAAAATAAAGGAATTCTTTACAAGTGCGATCATCACTAAGCGGGCGGCTGTGGTAAACTGTGCCACAGGAACCACGAGCTCGGTCGACCCAAATGCGTATCAACAAAGTCGCTAGTTGAGGCAAAGATCGTAAGTCAAGTTGCATTTTCCGACCAAATTTACTTCGTAACTCGAAAACTTCCTAAATTGGGGCAGTCGTAAGTCGAGGTGCCACTGTATTTACGAATTTTTCGGGTTAGGAGCTCAATTTCTTTGTAAAATTTGATTCAGTTTACAAGCTTTGCCTCGAGTTGCGAGTTTATTGACATACATATGAGTCAACAGAGCGTGTGGTTCATGGTGACTGCGGTGACTGCGCCTCAGTTTAAAACTGCCTCCACTGTAGTGACAATTGTGCTTTAATTCTTTGTAAAGAATTTAATTGTTTTTTATTTTTTTTTGTTTCTAAAAATAAAAGTAATTATTATATACCATGCCATGGGTCCCAAGAAAGTCAATGGTATGGGTCAACATAAGAAAACACATGCGAGGATGACCACTGAGGAAAAACAAGTCTTTATGGAAAGGTTCTTAGTGAGAAAACAAGCAGTGAGCCACAACCAGGTCCTACTGGTATGCAGGCAAAACGTAGGGGAGGGGGGGGGAGGGAGCGGGGGAGAGAGAGAGATAGAGAGAGGGAGGGAGGGAGAGAGAGAAAAAGAGAGAGAGTAAGAGAGAATGAGAGAGAGAGTAAGAGAGAATGAGAGAGAGAGAATGAGAGAGAGAGAGAATGAGAGAGAGAATGAGAGAGAGAGAATGAGAGAGAGAATGAGAGAGAGAATGAGAGAGAGAGAATGAGAGAGAGAATGAGAGAGAGAATGAGAGAGAGAATGAGAGAGAGAGAGAGAGAGAGAGAGAGAGAGAGAGAGAGAGAGAGAGAGAGAGAGAGAGAGAGAGAGAGAGAGAGAGAGAGAGAGAGAGAGAGAGAGAGAGAGAGAGAGAGAGAGAGAGAGAGAGAGAGAGAGAGAGAGAGAGAGAGAGAGAGAGAGAGAGAGAGAGAGAGAGAGAGAGAGAGAGAGAGAGAGAGAGAGAGAGAGATAGAGAGAGATAGAGAGAGATAGAGAGAGATAGAGAGAGAGAGAGAGAGAGAGAGAGAGAGAGAGAGAGAGAGAGAGAGAGAGAGAGAGAGAGAGAGAATTAATGAATGAATGAATGAATGAATGAATGAATGAATATGAATGAATGAATGAATGAATATGAATGAATGAATGAGTAAATGTGTGTGTGTGTACGTACGTGTGTAGTACCCCAGAGAAGTCATGACCGCCTGATGTTATAATGGAAGGGGAGACTCCCCTTTGAAACACTAACACCTCTCCTGCTCCCCTCCCCCTCCCCCCACTCTTCACCATCTTCCATACACCAACAAGAGTTATCAATAAAGGTAAGCTATAACTTGTACATACCATAGTACAAAATATTTGTGTTTATTATGTATGAAGTGAATTTTGAAGTTAATATTTTTGGGAGTGTAGAACGGATTTTCAATTTACATTATTTCTTATGGGAAAATTCGTTTCGGCTTACGAATTTTCGGGTTACGACCCGTTTCTGGGAACGGATTAAATTCGTAAATGAAGGTACCACTGTACATGTATTAACTATTTATTGTACTGTATATCTTTGTGCCCATGCATTTATTCTACATCCCTTTTGTTTGGTCTTTACCCCTTGGTATATGCTGCTGATATAACCAATGACTATATTGTCTGCAACATGCAGTATATAGTATATCAATGTCTACTTTATTACATGGTGGTGATATTAGAAAATCAAATTTATCAAGATATGTTTCAAATTCTATTACATAATACTGTACAGTATTTAACTTTATGGAATATTTAAAGGCAACTAACAGTGGAAACTGTGTACTTTGGATAAAGATTATAATAGATCACAATCTTTGGATGTTGAATTCAATAAGTCATAATCTTTGGATATAGAATACACTTTATATATTCTATGGATGTTGAATACATTGCAATAGATTGTAACCTTTGATTTTCCATGTTTGATGCAAATTCTTTATTTTCAGATTTTATGGAGAAGCCAACTGCCAGTAGACAAAACGTTAAAAACCTGCAGCTTGTCAGATATTCAGAAAAAAGACTGAATTTGGATATTTTTAAAATAAATTAACAATCAAGGACTTTTAAGAACAGAGATGAGAATTAAAGCTGAAGTAGAACCTTTAAGGGTGTTACATGTTGCATTTTGAAGAGCAAGTGTAAGAAATTTAGATCTTGGTCAGTCGATTAAAAAGCCTTCATGGTGCGGAAGCTCCTTAAGATTTGTTTAAACAACAATACAGTACTTATTATAATAAATAGTATAGTACTATAAAAGATGAACACATTACCGGTACATGTATAGTTGATGAGTCGCAGCTTTATCTTAAATTGCAACAACCTCTTGCCCCCTTAAAGTACATGGTGAGCAACTCAGAAGTCAAGCCACCCATAAAAAGGATGGCTAGATCCAAAAAAAAAATAAACTGTAATGACTGTAGTGAGATTTTCAGCAGAAAAACCGATCTTCTACAACATAAGAGAGAGGAACATTCTGTAAGAAGGCAAAATGTTTGCCACCTGTGTAATAGGGCATTTGGATCAGAGAAGCGTCTTAAGATGCACTCACATTTCCACAACGTGGGAGGGGAGTATGAATGCTTTTATTGTTACAAACAATTTAATAAAGCATGGAAAATGAAGATTCATTTGGTTAACCACAGTGGCCGTGCATCGTACATATGTCAGTATTGTGGTGATGATTTTCTGTATCCTGGAAAAATTATAAATCATTTAAAACGAGCACACGATGTCTGGTACGCGTGTAAGGATTGCGGACAAGCATATCCTGGCAATCTGAACATTCATAAGTATAAGTGTAAAATATATGGATGTAAAGACTGCACACTGTCATTTGCTAGTTGCAGTGAACTGGCCACACACGTAAAAGTTCACATAAATAATGATGAGCAACCAATGGCTTTATTGTCTACAACATCTAGTATTTTGCCTCTTACAGATGATTCTCAGTTAGGGAAACTCAAAGATGAATCACAGTTAGATGAACCCAATAGCGATTCACAGTTAGATGAACCCAATAATGATTCACAGTTAGATGAACCCAATAACGATTCACAATTAGATGGACTCAAAACTGAATCACAATTAGATGAACCCAATGATGGTTCACAGTTGAATAAACCCATAAATGATTCTCAGTTAAATGAGCCCAATGACGATTCAAAATTAGATGGACTCAAAGCTGAATCACAGTTAGATGAACCCAAAGATGGTTCACAGTTAGATGAACCCAAAGACTTGCAGTCTCCACATTCTGAAAGGAAAGTTGTTAAATTTTATGACTGTGGTTCATTTAAACGGCCTTTGACCAGATCGCAAACTAATAAATGTCTTAATGTTAAATCTTCTATTGAATTACAAGCTAACAAAGACACAGAAAATGATGCACCACAAGACCTTGTAATAGATGAGAACGTTTCTGATATTCCTATATTGAAAAATTTCAAGGATAAAATTTCAAATAAAATTAAAGAAGTGATTGCAGATAATACAGTTGATAAGATTGCAAATAAAACTGATGATAAAATTGTAGATAAAGCTGGTGATAAGATTGCAAATAAAGCTGATGATAAAATTGGTGATAAAATAGCAAATAGAAGTGATGTGAGCATTATAAAAGAGTCTGAGTTACATTTGAGAAAGATTCCACATCCAGTCAGTACTTCAGTAAATGATAATTGCAAAGAAGTTGATCAGTTGTCATTTTCACCAGTTTTCTTAAAATCAATAAGTGAGGGTTCATGGAGTGACTTTAAAGTTCCAGAAACAACCGTAAATAAGAGAAAGAGATGTGAAAATCCTTTTAAAAAATTGATATGGAGGAGACATGAAGAAATACACAAGTTGGCAGGAAAGAGGGAGCAGTTGTCGAACAAAATCCAGTTGTGTTTTGATAGTAATGCTAAACTCAAACAAAGAAATAATGTCTCATTTGAATCATGGTTGGTAAATGATGCTCTGTCCAGCAGTGATCGTGATTTTGTGTTTGGCATTGAGGCCAGTGGAAGTGAAGGTGGTCATCAGCAAGGAAACCAGCATCATTGTTTTAATAATAAACTTATTAAAAAGGAAAAAGCTGATATGACATTTGAGGACCTTTGTTTGTTTTAGTTTTAAACTGCACTAACAATATTTAAGTTAAACTTAATGTGATGCAACTATTGCATGCAAACTTTTATATTATTGTTAAATAGATCCGATTACGATATGAGGTAATTGGTTATTATTGCCGGCTCGAGCAGATATTACCATCGGTAATTTTCTGTTTAGTTGTTGTTAATATATTTCTTTGCGGAAGATTTTGAGTTACAGTATTTGACATGTAAATGAGAGGATTCCTGAAATAGTTAAATGTTTATGTTGAGTACTGTTGTTGGTTTCCTTCGTAATAATTGTACTGAAGCCAACGGTGTTGTTGCTAAAAGATTTGCTGGAGTATTGATGATCTATGTCATTAATTTAAATAGGCATGTGTGCTTTGCTTGGAATGTTTCAGTAATTATGACTATAGAAGAAATTCAATTACCCTAAGCCACATTCTGAAACTGATAACCAGATTGTTCACAAATATGTACACAAGTGTTATAATCATTTGTGTTTGTGTGTGTATAAGGGTGTGTTAGTTACAATCTTTGTCTCACTTCATTAGTGAGATGTTTTAGTAAGAATTATTGAAAGAGGTGTACATAGTAATATGTTACAAGTTTGCATGGACACGCAAAATTGCAGAGCTTATTATCAAGTAGACAACAGTTTTGATTATTGCAGCATCAAAATTGTTTGCAGTTCTTTTCCAGAAAAACACTGTACAGTATAGCCTTATTTTAGTACCTGGATTACGCGTCAGACTAAGCATAATCTCATTTTTCAGACTTCCTGACTCAAGCTGTGTATATAGAGCCTACACACTAATATAATATTACTGTAATGTCTTTGTCCTTAGATTCATGAACTTGTTGAGCACATCTACAATGTTATCTTGATGTAATTGATAGCATCTCTGGTAGCATTGTCAATTTATTATGTTCTTTGACTCTATTGTATAGTACTTTTTCTTGACATTTAAGTTAAATGTTTAATATTAGTGACTATCTTGAAGTGAATCTACTATGTATAGTAATAATTAATGTCTTTCATATCTGTTAATCTTCATTGCTGACAAAAGCAAGTTTCTAAGGCTTGTAATTGACAATGTTACAGATTGTGTTAATCTATATTTATTATTTAAGTCATATATGGAGGCATTTAACCAGTATTCTAGTCTATAATGTTGAAGATACATGACTAATAACATCGCTATTAGGCCATCTTTTGGTGTATGGGATACTGCTGCTAAAATTGTCATATTTTCTGTTTAGTTGTCATTAATGTATTTCTTTGCGGAACATTTTGAGTTATTTGACGTGTAAATGAGAGGATTCCTGAAATAGTTAAATGTTTATGTTGAGTACTGGTGTTGGTTTCCTTCATAATAATTGTACTGAAACCAACTGTATATTGTTAACAGTGTCACATTGTCCACACAGTTAGTGACATTAATGAGACCTTTGGTGTAAATTCACATTGTTATAAATATTTAGAGTAAATGCAAAGAAAATTTTGTTTGTATACTATAATGTTGGTTCTCATCTCCTTGAGTAAGTTGAAGAATGCTGTAACATGAACTGTATAGCAAAAGGAGTAAAGAACTATAAGTCCATTAGTAGTGTACTAGTTATGTAAATAGTGCACTTAAAGAGAGGCCACAATGAATCAGATGGCAGTTAACACAATTATGTTCTCATCCATTATTCAGAACCTTGCTACAATGGCTTTAAAGTAATGATGTAATGTTAGCATTGCAGGGTAGTAATTAATTGAATGTGCTTACTGCAGGTCTTTGAAAGAGCCTTGTTTTGTAAAAGATCTGCAGTTACATGCTATAAGGCTTGCCAGGCTTGAGAGGTAAATATTATCTTTGAGAGTGGGGTGGTGTTTGTGTGTTTTAGGTGAATGCACATACGAGAGCTTTAATAAGCATACAAACTCAAAAAACATGTTTATTTCAACCAAGATTAAGCTTACATCCTTCATGTTATCTCTGTAAAAATTCATACAGATTACAGTCTGATTGAATTTTTTTCTGGAAGGAACCCTTTTTTTCGCTCCTTGAAGCTATCTTGCTGAAATGGCTTCTCATTACATGGTCACATCAGTCGCAGGAGTCCTGTTAGGCCTACCGAGGACCAGAGCCTGAACCTGTCCGCCTCCGCCTCACAGAGGTGCAGTGAGCTGGGGATATATTTTCATCACCCACACCAGGAAAGCATCAGAAAGTCACCTAAGCTTTACAGACAACTTCAAGGTTCATAAAAAATAAAACACCAAAATGGTCAAATGACTCCATAGAACTATTCAGGCAAACACAAGCCATCCACTAACTAGCGTAAGCCCATTAGTACAGATAGCCACCACCGGGCGACCCGGAACCCCGGTCCACAACTGACTCCAAGGCCAGTCTTTTCGCTGATGTTCTGGTGTAAACATCATGTAGTGGGGACTTCCTGGGTCTTCATCAGTTGCACAAGTCCCACTGCTTCTTAAGCTAAGTGCCGACCATTCTTTGAACTTTGTTATGTCTGGGCCATTTGCTTGTGTTTTCACACTTTAGCATTAGTATTTGCTTCAAGTGCATGTATTCTTTCCGGCTTGATTGAGTGAACTTTGTACATTTTATGCTTCAAGCTGTTTGAGCTCAAGATTCCCTTCCCTGGGTGCTCATTTAGCACTGTCCCTGCACTGTCAGAGTTACTTCTCTGGTGTGTTTGGGAGTTTGCCTCTTCAAGGCCTGACCACTGGGGTGTGTATGAGTACAGTATTGACTCTTCTGCTTAGGCCTTAGACTAGGAGCATTCTGGTTGGTTGTAAGTGGAGTGCACAAGGATTCACACACGCTTCATTTATATGGCAAACCGCAGATGCCTTTCGTAGCTGCGTTGTTCACAGACTACGTTTAGTGTCTGTTCTTTTGGCAAGCATCCTCAACCCGTTGAGGCCACACTCACTACACGTGAGCTTGTTAGGTGCTCATCAGTCAGTTCGCTGGCTGGTGATCATTCTCTCTGCCTCCACCATGCCTGCTGGGTCAGTGACATCTACAATCTGGGGTTGTATGTCGTAAGCGCATGTGGCATCACCATTCTCTCGCCATCCTTCTTGTTACCAAGCTTGCCAGCCAGCTGCCACTTCACAGGTGGGTTTATCTGTGTATGTTATTTCATGGCTTTGTGTTCAGTTGGATGCCCGGAGTTGGCCCCTGGGTTGTTTCAAGGTGTAGATGTGCTCTACCCACTGTGCTCTGTCCCCACTGCCTCCCCTCTGATTGTGCTTTGTTCTGCTTTCTTTTTTTCCCTGCTTCTGGCTCTTGTTGTTCTGTGGTTTCAGAGTCAAGGTAGGGTTTGCTTGGGGTTTTGTCTGGCTTTCTCTTGAAGGATGGTCTCATCCAATTTAACAGTGGAGGGAGTTTAGCTGTCTCTTCTCGTCGGGGATGTAGAGCTATTCCTTCACGACCACTTTCACAGTGGTTTGTAGTTAGTGGATTACTTGCCTTTGCCTGAAAACTTTGTGGAGTCAGTTGGCCATTTTTGTGCTTTACTTTCTATGAACCTTGTAAGTGTCTGTAAAGCTTCGCTGACATTCTGGATGCTTTCCCATTGTGGGTGAGGATAATACATCACAAGTTTTCTGCACCTCAGATGGGGCCTGGTTTAAGCTCTGATCCCTATAGGCTTAACAGGACTCCTCCAACTGATGTGACCCAGTAGTGGGGAGCCATCTCGGTGAGATAGCTTGAGGGAGCCATCAGGGTTCTACCAGAAAGAAGTATTTCATTACATTCAATGCTGATTTTTTTTTTTTTTTTTAGGTGCAAAATAGTGAAAATTCATGCAGTTAAATATTTGTGGAAGATGTATTCAGGGTGATTGTTAAAGTTGGTGCCCTATTACCAAATGCATACTAGAGAGTTTTGTGAAGTAAAATTTTTTAGGAGTACTGTATCTAAATTACTCCAAACATATATTCATTTCCTTATAAAATTTTAAGTTTTAGAATAATCATAAATTTTGCTCTCCCACTGGTCCTTTGAGTCAGATGTCCCTCGATAATCTGTTCAGGGAGTCTTCTCCTTTTGACATCACTCGTCTCAGGTCTGCCCTCATATTGGCATCGTGAATGATATGTAAGTTCCTTTGAATATTTTGTGACACACATGGTGCTATACAGTACAGTATAGTCTTCTGGGCTGGTCATCATCTTTTGATAATTACTTACTTTTGATAATTGCCTAACATCAGACCAGGGCAGAACCCATGCCAAAGATTCAGGGAAAGTTGTGAGGATGTGCAGGTTTGGTAAAAAGGTGGTAGAAGAATGGAATATGTTGGCAAACAATATCATAGAGGCAGATGGTATAGATGGTGTATTTTATGTAGTCTTTATATAAAATAAGCTTGTTGGGAAGAGGAGAGTGGTTGGATCTGGATGGGCATCACCCTGAATGAGCTAACAGGTCTACTTTGGTAATGCCTGCTATTTATGTTCTTATATCCCTACTCACTACAGTAGCTTTTATCTACATTTAGATACATGTACATTGATTTTAAGAAATATATTCATCTATGAATACCCAATCTTTCATGTACTTGTTGTAAAATGTAATTAATATCTAACTTTTTTCTGTATAATTTGTATATAGTATTTGAGCTGGCTAATGTGTGTTGCATTAATGGATTTAAAGTTTAGGTACTGTATATGAAATGAGGTAAATCAGATGCATAATCTTGTCTTGTGAAAAAGCTCCATGTCTGATACTGCCTGTCTGGTTGCAGCTATTTTAAATGACTGATCGTTTGGCATGCAGCTGATGTTCTACCCCAGAACCTTTTCTTCTACTGTCTGGCCCCATTTTTATGTTCACTACTTGGTTTCTGACGTGAGAAATGTTGGCCTCCCCTGCTGAGGCACCATTGAGAGTTAGCTTGGGGAGCTACTAAACTGCCCATCCTAAAAATCAAGCATTTGGGTACGGGTGACTCATGAGTGAGGGTTTAAATGGCGGGGATTCAGAGTGACTCGGGTTTCCACCTGTCAGAAGTCAGGCAAAACATTGTGGAAGTGTTTACATCACAGCAATAATTGTTTGTCTAATTAGCTATGAATACCTAATTTTCTTTGAGCAATTGCTTGTTTTGTTTTACCAATACTTTCTGATTGGGTTGATCTCTGATCCTGAAGCCCCCCCTCCCCACCTCACCTTGTAGAGAGAGAAAGCCAGATTCCAGTCCTAGCTGCCAGCTAGCAGAGGTGAGCCTCAGAGGCCTTTTGCTTTGACATACAGTATTGTAACTAAAAACAAAAATCTTTCACAGTTCAGATTAGAGGTATTCTAATATGACAACTTTTTCACTAGCTGTGAGGTATTTTCCCAAATTGTCCAACTAAGTTGAAGCTTCCTTCACAATATGGTGTGCCTTTCTGTGCAGGCATACCATGTCAGTGCTCAGTGACCTACGTGTTCAAGTGATGCTGTACAATTATTTATTTCAATGCATACTTTGATATATTTCTGTAGTGACTTGCTTACCTCATACATCTTTATAACTTTTTTTTCAGTTTTCTAATTTGATAAGGTGGACTGCATAAAGAGGTCATGTGCTGCTTACTTATCCAAAATACCCTCTAACAATGATAGTACATACAGTATACTGTAACGACTTATGTGTTATACGTACAAAATACAGTATGAACTGTGGTGCCCCCAAAATAATGTTTGTATTACTGTACTGTATTGGGTTTGTAGAGAGCTCAAGACATAATATCTTCTAGGCCCTGTAGTGTCCAAACATGTACTACATGCAACGTAAGATTGCATATATTAGGTACAGTGCCGCCTCGATTAACGAGTTTAATCTGTTCCGACACCGAGCTCGTTATGTGGAAAACTCGTCTTGCGAAACAACAGCAAAACTGTCATCGGAGGTGTCCGAGAACCAGCGGGAATGCTCGTTTATCGAGCGAAAGCTCGTCAGTTGAGACATATTTTCTGCGAGTGGCTTGCTCGTTACTCGAAATGCTCTTAACTGGAGCCGCTCGTCACTCGAGGTTCCACTGTATAATATTACGAGTGTTACACCTCGGATTGCTTATGTTATGTCTAGGAGAGGTTACGTTAGGGTGTTGCCCTTTTTATTTACCTCTAATATATCAAAAGTAAAGTACCCGTAATACAGTAGTAAAATTTGATACCTATATATACAGTCCTCCAGATACAGTACAGTACGGGGTACTATCATTTTTGGAGGATGATTAAACTTGTCAGTGCCTGGTTAGCCTAGCTTTACAATCATGTATATTAGAGTGATGAAAATTCTCTCATGCAAACTACTTATACTGTACAGTGCTATTTTTAAATTTAGCTTTAATCCAAACATTTCCATTTCATTGGAAAACAATATTTTGATTTTGACTTGTGGTTTCCCAGTGTGAATGGCAGAAAGTCTGTTAGGTTTATCATGGTCCTCCTTGGTAAATGACTGAACTTCCCCAAGATTCAAACCACAACAGTTGCCTAACTCCCAGATACTGTATCTACTTATTGCTGGTTAAACAAAGGCATCAGGCATAAGGAAGCGTGCCCATATGTCTTGTCCTGTCCAGGTAACGAAACCAGGTTCAGTCGTACATGAGCCAAATATGCTAACCACTCCACGGCAGCTCACCCCCTTTCATTTCCTGAAGCCTGACCAATATTATACTCTGGACAGTTTTCTCTGTGAAATGCGAGAACCTTACCATTTCTGTGGGAAGCCCCTTGGCTCTCTGGAGCTATCCGGCTAATATGTGATATATTAGACCAGGGCTGTAGTCAATGGAGTTCAGCCTACCGGGGTCCACAAGCCAGAACCTGGCCCCCTCAGAGGGGCACAGGGAGCAATGGCCTTATTTCCTTATCTGCCATTGACCGGGGTTAAGCATACAGAAAGGTAGGCATAACAAAACAGACTCCACACAGTAAGAAAATTGCAACCAAAAACCAAACAGGGAAGCAGAACTCCCTCAATTCTCAATAAAACAAGCAAACAAGCAAATGTCACATCACGCTGTCACGCCGCGCAGCCCTCCCCTCCCTGGGAGGGGGAAGGGGGGAGCCCCAGACCCCCCCCCATCACCAGCTACCTAGCAACTCCAGTTCGTTGGCTAAACCGATCCAGGGTGGACATCATCTCTGGTCTTGGTTTCTAAGCAGAGTTTATCTTCTTGGTGTCCTCTGTGGTGTCATTATGTGTGGTGGCCAGGTGTCCTCAAAGAGTACCGAGGCTGCATGCGCTTAAGGGCATCTTTCCCTAAGTGCCCTGTGAGTACTACCCTTGCATGTTAGGGTTCTCTTCCCTGGTGCGTTTGGGAACCAATTTCGTAGTGGTTTTTGCTGCTTGGCACTTACCCTGCCCTTGGGACCAGCTGGGGTTTCTGGCCCTTGTTTGGCCTTGGGTAGGGATTGGTATCGTACTGGTTGGGGCATCAAGGTGTTGTGCAGCCTGCCAACCTATGTGGGGCCGGTTCCTGTTTTCCCTGGGGGACGTACTTTTGCAGGGATTTTATTTTGTTTTTGTTTTCCTTGCCTGGTGTGGCTATAGTTTCACAATAATATATTGGTGGCCCTCCACTAGGCCCCATAATTGTACACGTTGCAGGGGTTTCAGAGTTTTGATCTCCCCCCTTCCCTTGTTAGCTTTGGGTCTTAACCGGTTAGTAACACCTTGCCTGGGCTTCCTGTAGTAGTCAGCCTACGGGCCCTGGAAAACCCTATCGGGGCTCGGTGGACCTATGGATGTGTCTTCCGAGTTCCAGCCCACCTTGTGCCAGTTTGAAGGATGATGTGTGCCCTTGTCTCAGGGTGACAGTCACCACTTTTCCCTCTGTCATGATGCCTGTTGGGTCAATGACACCTTTGACCTGGAGTCTTGCAAGTCTTGTTTTCCAGTACTATTCTAATTACATTACTGTTAGAGTTGAGGCAGCATCCACATTGCATGCTAGGTTCAAGTTGCTTGAATGCACTAGGTTGGTTTCCCACCTGGATGCCCCGTTGTGGTTAGGCATTGTTCACCCTTTCTCTCTCTCTCTCTTCCCCCCCACTTTCCCTCTTTCCTCCCGAACCATCTGCGGGTTTCGGGGTTAGGGTGGGGTTTAGTTAGTGATGAGACTTCGGGAGCTGCCATATTTGGGTTGGGAATGGAGGTATTCGAGCCTGCTCCTACCGAGGCTTCTGGGTTCTACCAACAGCCCCTTCTTTGCTGCCTTTCCCCTGGACTCTGCCTTTTCTTCAGGGGTGGAGGATGGCTCTGTTGCAGGTTTCTGGGGCTGTGGGGGGCCCACTAGCAGTTCTGGGGCAGTTTGCACTGCTTGAGCTTTGTGCCCTCTGGGTGGGGGGGGGGGGGGGGTTCAGCCCTCCTCTGGTCTGCTTAATTCCCACATTTGCTGGCGTGAGTTTTGGAGGCGTTTTTTCGCCTCCTACGCGAATTTTTATCCTCCTGTTGCCGTTTCTGTTTCGTTCTTTCTTCTAGGGCATTCTGCCCTTATTCTGTTCCTCTGGGAACGCTTGGGTGTTGTTTTTTTTTTGCCAGGTTTTGTGTTTTCTGTCTGTGTTATGTCTAGGTCCGGTGTCCCTGGTTGTTTGCTCCCATGCATTTTGTCCCTCAGTTTAACCAGGGGTTCAGTCTGGGTGATGCCTTTTGCCCTTCCTTGCTGTGGTGCATTTTCCACAAGCAAATGTGGTGGTTTGGGTTCCCCCCGGGTTTGTTTCCGGGTTCCTTTGGACTCTTCACTTTCGTTCCGGAGGTTTATGTCCTCTCAGGTACCCTTTGGGGTCCTTTGTTACCTCCTGTGTGCCTTGGACTTCCTATTCTGGGGTTACCTTGAGGTGCTTCCGGGGCTTAGTGTCCCCGCGGTCCGGTCGTCGACCAGGCCTCCTGGTTGCTGGACTGATCAACCAGGCTGTTGGACGCGGCTGCTCGCAGCCTGAGGTATGTTCCAGGTACTTCCTGATTTGCAGACTGCACTTCTTGGGTCTTGGCACGTGTTTTGTGGTCGTACAGGGGCTTCAGCTTCTGTTGTCAAGGTGGTCCTTTGGTGCAGCTTTTGTGCCGGTGCCTCCTCTGGAGCCTTCTTCGTCTTGCTGGCACGATGATCGTCCTACTTGCAAGTCGGCCCCTTGTTGGTTGCCCTCTTGACAGGGCGATGGGGGAAGACTCACTCTGTTTGCTCACACCTGGTCTCACGATTTGTGGGCATTCGGGTCGTGTCCTCCGGCCTGTGGTGGCGTTGGGCGACAGCTCCTCCTTCAAGGGGTTCGAGGCTAACAGGGCAGGCTTCTTCCCCTGCGCGGCGTCTGGTCATCTTGGAGTGGGTCGCTTGGGCATGGTTGATTCGACCCCATCCCTCAGGTGGGGTTCCTGCCTGTTCCTGTGTCAAAATAAGACTGTGCAGATCTGTGGTTCATTCTGGACTTGTCCTGTCTGTATCCCTGGATTCCTTGCCCCTCCTTTCGGATACCTGCTTTGTCTCGGGTCCGGCTTTTGTTGGAGCCGGGTGCCTGGATGGAGTCCTTGGACCTCAGGGTCATGTATTGGCATGTTCCCATTCAACCGGGCTTCAGGGATTGGATAGATTTGTGGTGGAGTGTCCGGCATACTCTTTTTATTGCCTTCCTTTTGTCTTGCATCTGGCACCTCACGTGTTCACGTGTGTCTTACCCGGGTCTTGGTGACCTGCCTGTTTCTGCTACGGGTTCGGGTTCTTGCCTACCTCGATGACTAGTTGGTGTGGGTTCCCAGCTGGTCTGCTTATCTGCTCACCAGTGGTGTGGTTCTTTCCTAACTCGCCCGGGTTCGGGTTACTGGTGAACTGGAGAGAGTCCCGTCTGGTTCTGTCCCGCCCGGGTTCGGATCTGGCTGGGTCTTGTTTGGGATTCTTGGATTGCTTCCATGTCTCTGCCTCTGCAAGCATTGCTGAGGCCGTGGTTCCGCCTTCTGCTGTTTCTGGGGGTCCCGGTTCACTCAGCGGTTGTTCGAGCAGTTGTGCACTTTGGTCATTTTTAAACGCACTTCAGTTGTACAGACAGAAGGAGTCTGCACTTCGCCATGCTGGTCTACCCACTGGGTCGGGTTTGGCTTTGGTGTCTGTTCTGGTTCCTTCGAGGATGCCCCCTTCCTCCTCTCTTGCGATCGCTGGGTTCATCCTCCGGGGGGTCCTTGCATCAGTTGCTGCATCACCAGCTTCCTCATCAGGTTTTTTTGGGTTCCGTGCCTTGGCACCTACCCGAGCCCTCGCTCAATGTGTTCCTCCAGTTGGCAGTTTTTGCGTCGTTTTGATGCTTAACCTCCGAACTGGAGTGACTAGATAGCTGATGTGGGGGGTTCGGGGCCCCCCTTGTCCTCGCAGGGGGGGATGAGCGGCTTGGTGTGACATTTGCTTGATTCCTTGGGAATTGGGGGATTCCTGCCTCTCTGTTTGGTTTTCGGTTGCAATTTTCTTACCATGTGGGGTCTGTTTTGTTATGCCTACCTTTCTGAGTGCCTAACCCCGGTCGATGGCATATAAGGAAAACCCCAACCATAGGGGGAAGGGGTTCCAGGGCCATTGCTCCCTGTGCCTCTCTGAGGGGGCCAGGTTCTGGCTCGTGGTCCCCAGTAGGCTGAACTCCATTGACTAAAGCCCTCGTCTAATGTATCGCAAATTAGCCCGATAGTTCCAGGGCTCACCCAGAAAATTACTTTTTATTATCTTCAATGCTGTTTTTTAGCACAAAGAATGTTGCCTTTCTACCCAGTTAGATTTGTCTCAACACCAAACCTCGTCTTTGTACTGAATTAAGAATGTCTCTGTTGTTCATTAATGATTCTTCTGCTGTTGACACATTAGCTAAGTATTGTTTTGCTCCAGTTAATTATGTTAATTTGGATTTTCCTGACATGAGCATTGCATCCCAATAAAAATATTTTTATCATTATCGAATGTAGGTTCTGAATAAACAGGTTGAAAGAACTGGAGCACAGCAGTGGAAGTGTGAACAAAAATAATTATTTTATTAGCATATTTAAATGTAAGAATATTTTACTTATGCTACTCACCCAGTTAAACATAATTACTCATAAGTAGATAGGACGCTAGCAAGTCTGCGTGCCACTTCAGTAAGGTGATTCTGACTGTGCCACCGCTTGCATAGTACAGTACTGTTTTATCAACTGTGAATTCCAGCTGTACCAAGCATTTATTTATGGAAACTGAATGTAAAGCCATTGTAGATTTACCTCTTTAGCATTAACAGATGATTTAAGAATACAGTAATGCCAACTTAGATATGATTGCAATTTCTTTTATACAATATGAAAGTCAGAACAAAAATGTAACCTCAAATCTCTTCTTCATCCTGTAACATCTAGATGGTAAGCACCATACTGATAATGCATATTTATTACATTATACTGCAATACACATAGTTTAAAGAAAATTAATGTACTGTATATACATATTACATGTATCCAAACCTGAAAAGGGTTTAGTATTCCTGATAGTAATGGGCATTATGTATGTTTTGGCAACTTGTTATAATTTTAGTAGAAAATAATCATTAAGGCAAACATTTAATTTATATTTTTAGTGTTTAAGATAGTGGTGGTAGCTTGTTCAAAGTAAGTTGTGGCATCAGTAGGAATTGTCACCCCAGATTTTGATGGTGTAATGACCATAATTATACATTTTCATTGTGAAAACATGCAGTATGTACCATGGGCAACCAAGAGGGCTTCAAGAACAGGCAAATTGTGTGTTGTAA